GAGGTCAAGAATTTTAGTCTCACTTACGAACGTGGCAACTTTGACTGTGTACCCAGGTGTAAAGACAGGTGTATAGGCAGGTGTGGCCATGGTTATCAAAACTTGCTTATCATATCATATTTAGCATACATTGGTGGTGTCAAAACGTCCATCCATTTGACACAAGCGCTCGACGTCTATTTCGTTGAGCGATTGTTAAAACGACATGAGAAACACTTCAGCCACCAACTTAATCTTTTTTTTTTACTTGACTTAACTTGACTTTGTCCTCTTTGCTCCTTATGGAACATAGGGCCTCCACAATTTTCTTCCATTTCATCCGATCCCCGGCTATTAATGTTGCACTTTTTAGCGCAATTTCCATTCTGGCAATTGAGATTATTAACTCGTATATGGATGGATGTGTGTCCGCGCTTTAAGTCGTATCTCCTCCTCAACGAAGCAATATCGAGGACTAGTTCCAAAAGCAAATATGTTAAGCAAGTTCCGAGGATGATTGTGGGCCAAAAAAATCCCGGAATTCCTTCCTCAATTTCCCGGAAAAGCCAAAAAACCTCGAAAAATGCAGTTTTTGGCCCATATCTCGGCAACCAGACCACTTAGCGACTTGAAACATTTACCAATCGATTTCTGCCATAATTTAGAACGATATTGCCGAAGAAAGTTTTCAAAAATATCCTTTCTTTCGGTCACAAAAAATTAATTAAGGAAATTGCTCTTAAATTGTCACTAGACTTTTTATTAACTTGTTTTACTTGACTTAACTTGACTTAGTCTTCTTTGCTCCTTATGGAACATAGGGCCTCCACAATTTCGTTCCATTTTATCTTATCTCCGGCTATAATTTTTGCAAGTTATTACTTGTGATGTACATAAATCCATATATCGTGGGCTATCTCCTGTTGTTATTTATACACCTTGGTTCACGTCCATCTCACACAGACAGGAGTGGCCTGATGGCAGCAACAGACAGGTGTACGAGCTACAGACCATGCCAGGATTCCACACCGTCTTCACAGAGAACGGCACCCCCTTTGGCTGCTACGTGTATGCTAAGTACGGCTCCACCGCCAGCTTGTTCGCTGTCGCTTCTAATGTCGGAAACACTGACACTGTGAGTTTTGAAGACTTAGGTGTAGAGCGTCCCCCCCCCCCGTTTAATGCCAGGTACGCTGAGTCGACTCAGCTCTCATAGGTACCTGACTCACAGTAAGGGATTTTTAAAAAAAAGACGACTGAGAGAAACAGGTGAACTCTACTTCACCTGTCAAATGGACCATAAAATTCAAGAAAGTAACCACTTTTTTTATACGCTCGTACGAGCTGAGTAGAATATCATTAAATAAAATCGGAGTTGATTAATTAGATTTCATAGGGTTGGAGTGGTTGGGCGGGTAAGCACATGGTTGCAAACACGAAAGTCCCGAGTTTGAACCCTCGCGGAGATAAGGCTCGGTGTATCAAAATTAAACTTTACTTATGTAGTTTGTTTAAAAAAATAGAAGATAATACATTTTTAATTAATAATAAAAAAGAAGAAAACACCATAACATACTGTCTATGTACTACCGTGCCTCTTCCCCCCCACCCCCCCACCCCCACAGGCTACATGCGTCAGGAGCACGGCCGTACCAGGGGACATGAAGGACAACGACTGTGACGGGTCGATTGACGAGGAGTCAAAGTTCACGAGTTGTTACTATACGGGGACACCACTCGAGGAATGCAGTGAGTGGTTGGGAGTGGGAGTGGTGGTGGTGGTGGGTTGGTGGGGTTGATGTTTGGTTGATGGGGTTGGTGGTGGGTTGATGGGGTTGGTGGTGGGTTGATGGGGTTGGTGGTGGGTTGGTGGGGTTGATGTTTGGTTGATGGGGTTGGTGGTGGGTTGGTGGGGTTGATGTTTGGTTGATGGGGTTGGTGGTGGGTTGATGGGGTTGGTGGTGGGTTGATGGGGTTGGTGGTGGGTTGGTGGGGTTGATGTTTGGTTGATGGGGTTGGTGGTGGGTTGATGGGGTTGGTGGTGGGTTGATTGGGTTGGTGGTGGGTTGATGGGGTTGGTGGTGGGTTGGTGGGGTTGGTGGTGGGTTGATGGGGTTGGTGGTGGGTTGGTGGGGTTGGTGGTGGGTTGATGGGGTTGGTGGTGGGTTGATTGGGTTGGTGGTGGGTTAATTGGGTTGGTGGTGGGTTGATTGGGTTGGTGGTGGGTTGATTGGGTTGGTGGTGGGTTGATGGGGTTGGTGGTGGGTTGATTGGGTAGGTGGTGGGTTGATTGGGTTGGTGGTGGGTTGATTGGGTTGGTGGTGTGTTAGTTAGGGTGACATGGGTGGTGGTGGGTGTGGGTTGGTATGGGTGGGAGTGGTTGTGGGTTGATGGAGGATGTGGAGGGGGGGGTTGTGAGTGGGGGTGGGGGTGGTGGGTCGGTGAATGAGAGGTGGTAGTGGTGGGGGGTTGTATAGGTGCGAGTGGTGGTGGGTTTGAAGGTGTGATGTCGGAATTTTCGGGGGTGTGAATGATGGGTGGGTGGTGAATGTCAGTTCGTGTGTGTTGGTTTGTGGGCGCTGGTTTGAAGGGAGTGCCGGGCGTCGATAAATCATTGGGTAGTGCAAGAACTTTGTGAGTATTAAGGAGATTATCAGATTATTATTACAGGAAACCAACAAATTACTTTCAGTTTAAAGAGTATCAGAACAACAAACATGTGTCAGAAATGCGCTTTTTGAATGTAGTTTTCAGTGGAGAAGTTGTTATGTCAGTAACTTATGTATGTGCTGTTCTTGTTTCAGATCAAGCGGTGCCTTATGATGATGATTTTGATGGCAGGAGTGATGAAGATTTGGCATGGCCACCCCCAAGTAATATATGTATATATATATATATATATATATATATATATATATATATATATATATATATATATATATATATATATATATATATATATATATATAAATATATATATATATATATATATATATATATATATATATATATATATATATATATATATATATATATATATATATATATATATATATATATATGTGTGTGTGTGTGTGTATATATATATATCCCCGACCACGTCAAGATCTCAAATCCACATTTAAATCCCTGATTCCCATCCCAATTTCCACCTCCATCTCTTTCACTATCTGTTTCTCCATCTCTCTTTATCTCTATCATCTTCTCTACCGCTGTCTCTGTATCTGCCTGTCTCTATCCCTATGTCTAACCTAATCTCAATCGCTACTTCAATCCCAATCCCTGCCAATCCTATCCCTATCACTATCCCTTATCCCTATCCATCTTAATTCCAAATACCAAATCCAAATCCCCAAGCCAATCCCAACCCTAAGTCCCAATCCCAATCATAATCCTAATCCAAATCCCCACCGCCTCTCCCACTCCCACTCCCACCCAAATGCACATCCCTATCCCTATCTAATCATGCCCAGACTGTTCACTTCTTTTATTACCCAGCTCGCGGTGGCTGGAGCAACTGGAGCGCGTGGGCCTGCTCAGTCAACTGTGGCAGCTCCGAGTTCCACAGTCGCAGGTAGGCTCGTGAGCACACATGTGTCCCTTACAGCCCCAGGTTCAAAACCCGCTAGAGCGAAAGCAAGGTCATCCTTGTCGTAGGACAATGAGTTGGGGAAGGTAAATCGTTGTTTGCGGGTCGGCATAGTGCTGACCACACTAACCTTTCATATGCCGAGATCACGGTGAACTCTATTTCCCCTGCCTTCTCATATTCGAAGGGGTGATTTATTTTTTTTTGGCTGCCTTGTGTATTGCGCGATTTGAAAAACATCGCAGAATAGAATACTAAGTAGTGCCGATCCCTTTACTTAAACCACTTAGTATTGATACTCAATGAACATTCATCAATATACATACATATATTTATGTATGTATATATATATACATATATATATACATATATATATATATATATATATATATATATATATATATATATATATATATATATATATATATATATATATATATATATATATATATATACATACATATATATATATATATATATATATATATATATGAGCTTCTAGGATAAAATTATTTCAATTATTTCAATTAATTTCAATTTCTAAAATTGCTTTAAGATACGAGAAAATTAAAAAATACAAGTAACCTAACGTATATTCTGATCAGTTGGAGAGTTAATTCCCTTTACGTTTTTAATGTTGAGTCTAGACGAGTGTGCAACAACCCGGTACCCACGAGTCACGGGTTGGGTTGCTTGGGCGTGGCCGAGGAGAAACTGGAGCAATATTGTCACACGCGCAAGACATGCGCTGACGGTAAGACAGTCATAGCTGCTTGATATGTGAGAGGGTACAGAGTCATAGTTGCTTGATGTATGGGAGGGCACGGAGTCATTGTTGCTAGATGTTTGATCGGTTAAAAAGGCATAGTTGCTATATGAATGGACGGTTAAAGAGTCATAGCTGTTTGATGTATGGCCGGTTAAAGAGTCATAGCTGCTTGATGTATGGGAGGGCACGGAGTCATTGTTGCTAGATGTTTGATTGGTTAAAGAGTCATAGTTGCTATATGTATGGACGGTTAAAGCGTCATAGCTGCTTACATTGTGAGCAATTACAGAGTCATAGCTGCCTGATGTTTGGGTGGTTATAGAGTCATAGCTGCCTGATGTTTGGGTGGTTATAGAGTTTTAGCTGCCTGATGTTTGGGTGGTTAAAAAGTCTTAGCAGCCTGATGTTTGGGTGGTTATAGAGTCTTAGCTGCCTGATGTGTGAGCGGGTAAATGATAGCTAGGACATAGAAAAGTAGGTAGCAATAAACAAACCTGAAAAAGGTCAGCCTTTAGTGAAGCAGGAGCAGACGGAATGTCGTGGACCCAAATTGGAGAAGTCGCCCAATACAGAGTACGATAGAGATATGTGGAGCATCCTATACTCTACAAGGGTCCACCGAAATGACGATGTTGAATGTGTACAGATCTAGAACGTCTAACTTATGATGAATTGTTTTGGTTCCCCAGCCTGTCCCCGCGGTAGATACGGATTGGACTGTAGCGGCGACTGTTCCAACTGCCGCATGGACTGCGTCAAGGAATCCGGGTTCTGTCTAGTCTGCAAGGAGGGCTGGACAGGTCATGCCTGCCAGACACGTAAGTAATGACGTCAGTTGTTTCTATATTTAGACTTCGTGCTTATTGGTAGATACAAAATCTATGTCGAAATCAAAGTAGTGATGTGTTTTAATACAAATGTATAGAATATTCAGCTTGTACGCAATTTAGGTTAAAAGGCTTTATAAATAGTGGGGTGGTTGTAATGTGATTTAGTTTTCAGCAATGAATCAAGTCGAGTATTTAATAAATTAATATGATGTTTTGTTGAATAAAATATAGATTTTTCGGTTGTAACTTTTCTATTAGAATGCGAATGTTAAATTTCATACAGGGAGGTTACAAGTAAGCCACCCCCCCCCTTATACAAGCGAACACAAAACTCGAACTCCCTGTGACTCTTCCCTCCCCATTTTCAGAACAGAAATGGATTTCCTAAAAGGATTGTTTGGGTCTTAGAATAAGGATTCATTTAAAGGGTGGGGGGAAATGATATTGGTTCGTGTTGTGCAGTGCAGCCGACAGACCGTTTTCCAAGGAAAACTGGGTCGACTAGTACCATATTAATGTATTAAACTTTTGCAGTTTACCTAGACAATCATGCAATTGTGCGTGTGTGTAGCGCATATACGTAAATGTTGATTTGCGGGTATTCATACATGCGTATAGTGAATATGCATGTTATTGCGTATGTGTGTACTGTGCAAGTATTAATTTGTGCGTTGTGAAAGTGTATTGAATCTACCTACACATACCTAATCAACTTTTCCCCCGTAGCTTGTCCGGAGATGACCTATGGCTATAACTGCAAGTATTCCTGCTCCAAAAAATGTGGGGGTAGAGACTGCATGGAGCGGCAGTGGGGCATATGCCCGCCAGGTTAGTCTGTCTTATATAAGAACCGCAGTGCTGAGCCGAAAAGTCCAGAGTTCGAACCCCCGGGTAGATGCGGCTCTACAGAGACAGCCACTCATCTAGTAGAGACAACTCCAAAATAAAACAACTTCTGCTTTGTATCTTGCTCTTGGTAGAAATCGGAGTAAACGGCTTATATGGCGCATGACATATTGATATCGGATTTAATATTAAAAAAAAATTCAGAACGAAGAAGAAGAAAAAAATAAAAAAAAACAATATATAATAAATATAGGATTTTTACCAAATGAAATAGGCACAATAAATAATTGGTTTATTAGCACTTTATTTTACTTTCTTTTACGCTCCATAACTGATCTAAAAAAAATTTTCAAGCTCCACAATTAAAAAAGCAAAATGTAAATTTATATTTTTATTTTCTAATTTTTTGTATGTACACTTTGGTGTTTTTAGCTTTTCCTGTGATTGGGATGATCGTCTTCTGGTTCTTTCTGGTTCTGGTTCCTCTATTTGGCGTGCCTACATATGTCTGGTACATCAGGTAATATTAGGCTATACTTATATGTTTAATGTTTAGTAGAGAACGGCGAGGTCGATTTGGCTGCTAGCACGAATGTCACGAGTTCGTATCTCAGTTCGGACTTGTGATTGTAGGACGCCCCAGCTCTGATTGAGAAAGTAAAGGCGGCTGGGCTCAGAGTTTCTTCCAGGCATCTTTTCGGGGGGGGGGGGGGCGAAGAAAGTCTATCTCCCCCCTCCCCCCCCCCCCCAACCGAACGAGATGGAATCTATATAGTAAACATATACTAGTGTCCGCCCACCCGGAAAATGTAGACCGCCCCCCCCCCCCCCGAAAATATCAAGTGCCCCCCCCCCCCGGAAAAAAAGTCTGAAAGAAACACTGCCTGGGCTTAATGCTGACCATACTGTACCTTCGAATGACGAGGTCAAGACACAAATTAACTCTACTTCATATGCCAAATGGATCGCAAGTTCTAATCAGGAACTTTACGTTTTTACTATATGTTTAGTATGTTTTTGTTCCTAATATATGTTAAGAAACTGTTATAAAATTAATATTTAGAATCAGTAAGTTTTTAATTTATTTAAACATGCTTAACGTGTTCGCACCATTGGCTACTTACTACTTTATCTAAAAGATAAAGAAAACCTTACATTTTCCATCCCCCACATGGTAACTGCATTAAAAAATCACGAAGTTCAAAACGCCTAAAATGATTTTGTTAAAGGAAATAAAAATCTAACCAATAAATATAAATGACTGTCTATTTTTAGCAGTTGAACTTAGCAATTATATCTTTAAGTTGTATCAGTAGAAAAGACAATAAAGACAAACGACTTACCGAAAACATTAATCTTATTATAATAGGTTTATAATTTATTATAATTTATTGTATTAAGAAATGAAAAGAAAGGCAGTAAATTTTAGCAGTTGCAGACAAGATAATAAAAAAAAACAAAAAAAATAAATATTATTTAGCAATTTTATCTTTACATTCTTTCAGACGAACGAGTCCCATGCAAGACCGACTGACGGAAAATACTGAACCAAGCAGGCCTCATTCGCCCCTGTTGCAGTCGTCTTCTTTTTAATTACAAGTATTATCTACGTCACCACCATTGTGACGTGACGTTACATTGGTATACTGCAGGATTTAGATAAACTAGTTTTAAAAAGTTTTAATACTATCGCAATAGTTTTATTTAGATTTTAAAAGTTTGTAATAGTTTTAACGTTAATATGTTATTAAAATTTTTTGAAAGCATACATCTATGTTTTCTTTTAAACAATTCTAGAAGCTTCTCTCTAAGCGCTTGTTTCGTTTTTGTAGTTTTTATTTTTTTTTTATTTTTAAATCATTTCTACACAGTTTAGTAGTATTACAATTTTTAAAATTATTCAAAACAGGTTTTTATATCTCAAAACTGTTTTGTTGTAAGTGTATCTAAAAACAGAGCACAATGATTGCCCTACAATTACTTTATTAATGTTGTTTTAATACTTTAAATTTTGTTTTCTGATTTTTCTGCATAAGGATTTTAAAATCAAGACCTTTGTGGGTTCACGTTGAATGAAAAAGAGCTTTCTGATTGCTGTGTAATATAAACCGTCGTTGTTATATAGGCTATAACATCGAGTATTTTAATGAAGCTGAATTCAAACAATTATTTGAGGTATTGTATGGGTCACATTAGCTATGAAATGCATTTTATTTTAAAAAAAAAAACAAAAAAAAAAATACATCTTTCATAAGTTTTAGAAAAGACAGAAGAAATTTAAATTAAAACACGTAATCATTGAAATTGCAACATAAACTTGATGGTGTAATTAATGAGAAACATGGTTGAATTAATGAGAAAGTTGAAGATTTAATTAATGAGAAATATGGTTGTATTAATTATAAACATAATGGTTGAGTCAATAAGAAACATGATTGTTGAAATAAATACAAACATTATTGTTGAATTGAGAAAAATGGTTTAATGTATGAGAAACACGGTTGGATTATTAACAAACATAATTAACGAGAAAAATGATTATTGAAAAAAAAATTAGAACAATGATGTTTGAATTAATCTTAATGCTCAAATGAATGAAAACCATGAGAAATATTGTAATTGATTTAGTGAAAACCATGTTGATTGAATAAATGAAAAACATTGTGCTTGTACAAAACGGTGTTGTAAAAAATGATTAGATCTTAATGTTTCTAACAGTTAACCGAACGGTGGTTAATGTTCGAGTCAGGAAATCTGACAGATGAGCAAGCAACGATGATCGAACGGTGGCTACTGTTCGAATCAGAATAACTAAGCGAACGGTAACAGATGAGCAAACAGCGGTGACCGAACAGTGTCGAGTCTGTTTACTCGAACATCAGGTCCGTAATTCGATTGCCTGAGTTCTTGGAAAAACTGAAACACATATAAAGCTTAGAATTAGCTGTATAATACACGTTTATACCGTTAGCTGTGCCGTTATTCTTTAAAGAGGAAAAATAGTACTGCAACAAAAGTATAATACATTTGTATACAGTTAGTAGTGCCTTTACTCTTTAAATAGAAAACCAGAGTTTCTTCCGGGCATCTCTTCAGGTCCATTTTAGAATTACTACTACTGTATTAATTAGCGTATGGGGACGGGTGGTCTAACTGTAGAGAGCTAGACTGCTAACCAGAAAGTCTCGAGTTCACATCCGGTTCCAAGTCTGTAGAATGTCCAGCCAACTATGAAATGTTCCTAACTCACGTTAAGGAAACAAAAACGGCTGGACATCACTACCACTTCATATGCCGAGGTCTCTGAAGCAGATGAACTCTACTTCACCTTCCCCATGTGTGTTGATCTGAGCAGGGTCGTGACTCAAAGCATAATCCAATTTATAACCAAACCTAACTAAAGACACAACAATATTTTATTTACAAAAAAAAAATACCACACTCTACTCATCTAAACAGAGTTCATTATAACATATGTATAAAAGATATAACTTAATAATAGTCATGTATAGTAATAAACTAAGGTTGTTGGTGAACGCAAAGAGGAACATATCAAAGACCTGCCAAACACAGAACGAACCAAAATAAATAACTGGTGGATAGTGAAACAAATAATAATAATAAAATTCTTTGAATTTTTATGCCTGTCGTTCGACAGAATTTGCTGCATATTAGAATAAAACTAGGTCTCCTGACCACTATCATAAATCCTAGTAACCCCCCTCCCCCCCCATCCACACACACAGTTCGCCTTAATTCCTTTGCTTGGCTCCAACTTAAATCTCAGTCCTAATCCAACTTAATTTGTAAACTGTATTACTTCACACAATTTTTTTTCGTTGGTATATCTTTTGAACCAGTATGATCCAGTGTAATCCGCGTTATCGAGTGTGATCCGTGTGATCCAGTGTGATCGAGTGTGATCCAGTGTGATCCGTGTGATCGAGTGTGATCCGTGTGATCGAGTGTGATCGAGTGAGATCGAGTGTGATCCGTGTGATCGAGTGTGATTGAGTGTGATCCAATGCTCTCATCCAGTGTGATCCAGTGTGATCCAATGTGGCCCAGTGTGATCCATTGTGATCCAATGTGATCCATTGTGATCCAATGTGATCCAGTGTAGTCCAATGCTCTCATCCAGTGTGATCCAATGTGATCCAATGCTCTCATCCAGTGTGATCCAATGTGATCCACCACCAGTACGTAATAAAGCCCCAGTAAACACAAAGACTGTGACCTTATACGTTCTTATGTCTACCTTCCGTATTCTAATTATACTCAATGTTTACATTTTTTTTCATTAACAGTAATTAAGCTAATAAAATTCCCCTTTCGAACCTGATGGTCCATGGGGCAAGTGAAGTAGAGCCCACCTGTTTCATTTATTGTGCCTGCTTCCAAGCCCCTCTCTAGTTTGATGTAACCTCTATCGCCAATACACTATCCAGATGGCTTTATAATTTTCACTGAAGCCTCTTTCAATCCTCATAGAAAATTTAACACCGCAAGCAGCATATCCCGTTACGTTTTTAGTAGTGTTGAAAAGCTTAAAAACAATTCTCACTTCAAGGCAACGGGCGAATTAATTCGGGTGGTACGGCTAAGCAAATTGTAACCTACCTTTTGTAGCCGAACCACAGGGGGAGCCCGATGAGGGGCCCCAGTATGGCGATGAACCAGAAGGCAATGAGCCCCACCACACTGACGGCTGCAGAAGAGCGGTGAGAAATATAAGAGAGTGCCTTCCCCTTCTACAAGGTAGAGTTGATTTACGATGCTAAGGTTAGAGGTCATTCATTATTTTTTAAAGTGCACTTTTAGAGCATTATGGTCCGTGGGGTAGGTGAAGTAGAGTACACCTGTTTTAATGACCCTGGCATATGAAGTGATAGTGTGGTCAGCATTATGTCCAGCCGTCTTTACATTCCCTAGCGTGAGCCAGGTACCCATCAGAGATCCGAACTCGGGACTTACGACTTAGCAGTCGATCGTTCTACTATCTGACCACGTCATTGCCCAATTCCTATTATATAACTTCGGTATAAAAAATATTATTGACCCACTGCTGGGTAGGGGGGTGGAGGTGGCTTATATACTAAGTCAAAATACAAATTGAATAATTTACAAATTGTAATACTCTCAAAGCCACTCTCTTGGAGAAACGAATCCTATCTATTTACATTGTTTCACTTGCTGTACCCAAAATTACTGTGTATATTGTGGTTTAAAATGCCATTGAAATGCGTACATTTGCAGGCTAAACATTGTGTGTTTATTGTAGTATGGACGTATACTAAAGAAATTCAACATGTATACGTCATCAGGTACCCAGGGACCCGACAACGAAACCTGAGTCCACACTAGACTCTTTCGGAATCTCCCCCCTCCACCCTCATTTTTTGTTTGAACGTCTCAGAATAGAGGACCCCCTGTATGATACCACAGTCGCTTTATTTGAAATATTTGTTATAACATCTAAAGGCTGCTTATTTACAAAGCGAATATACGCCAAACCTGCTTACACTTAAATTGCTTACTTATGTACTTAAAAGGCATACATTTACCCACACTGATTACACTTACAAGGCTTACAGATACCAAGCATGCTCGAACCTAAAAAGCTTACATTTACCCACACTGCTTACACTTACAAGGCTTACAGATACCAAGCAGGCTCGAACCTAAAAAGCTTACATTTACCCACACTGCTTACACTTACAAGGCTTACATTTACCCACACTGCTTACACTTACAAGGCTTACATTTACCCACATTGCTTACACTTACAAGGCTTACATTTACCCACACTGCTTACACTTATAAGGCTTACATCTACCAACACTGCTTACACTTAAAAGGCTTACATTTACCCACACTGATTACACTTACAAGGATTACATCTACCCACACTGCTTACACTTAAAAGGCTTACATTTACCCACACTGCTTACACTTACAAGGCTTACAGATGCCATATTTCCGCTCTGTACAGTCCCTACCACCACATTTCTTTGAACATGAGTACTTGCAGTTGTAGCCAAATGTCATTTCAGGACAAGCTGTAACAGAGCCATTTATTTAAAACTCTTGGAAATGTTAAAAGTTATTGATGTAAAACTCTAGGAAATGCTGTTAAAAGTCATTGATTTAAACTCTAGGAAATGTTAAAAGTCATTGATTGGCCCCACACTCAACAAGCTTTTTGTAGAATACTCAAACAGGCCTCAAAATGAACAGAATAGAAAGAGGCTAACCAAGGCAGACCTGGAGACATGACCTGGAAAAAGACATCAAGTAGATTGGATACACCTGGGGACAGTTGGAGAGACTAGCTCAGGACAGAGATGCATGACACCAGTTCTATAATACGTGTTTAACATTAAATAATCAGTTCTCTACGTACGTGTCTGGCATTAAATGATCAGTTCTCTACGTACGTGTTTAGCATTAAATGATCAGTTCTATAAATACGTATTTAACATTACATGATCTCTATACATACGTGTTTTTCATTATATGTTCAATTATGTACGTAGGTGTTTAACAGTAAATGATCAATTATGTACGTAAGTATCCGCCATAAAATAATCAGTTCTCTACGTACGTGTTTTGCATTAAATAATCAGTTCTCTACATAAGTGTCTGGCATTAAATAATCAGTTCTCTACGTACGTGTCTGGCATTAAATAATTAGTTTTTTACGTACGTGTCTGGCAGGCGGGACCTGTCCATCCCTCCTTACAGACTGGACAATAGCCTGAATCTTTGACACACTCGACCTCACAATTGGAGCAGTCACCGGCACAATCTAGCCCAAACCTGCCTCGTGGACACGCTGATTGGTTGAAAATCAAACAAATATAACTTAACTTCACAATAATAAGATGTTAAATGCATTGAAACATACGTGCCGTCTCTACTAGACTAGCCGTCGGTACCCGTTACACCTGAATAAAATGCCTGTATATTTTAATGTTAAACTTTATAAAATAGCCCTTGGTCAAAACGCAATGTGCTTTACTACACGTTGAACGTGTGCCAAAGAGGGTTCGAACTCGAGACTTTTCTGTTTAGCAACCTTGAGCTTTACCGACTCGACCACGCCGACCGCCCTTGAGATGATGTTATTATCTCCTATGTAATCATTGAATATATTAATCTTTATATCGATTTTTAATTAATAATTTAATATCTAGTGAAATTTTTAAAATATAAGAAATTAGACATTCTTGTGTTGTCATCTATGACAAATAGTCTGGGCAGTTTTAACGTAAATCGCTGCATTAGAAGTTGATCAAATTGAGTTACAAGTTTTGTCACAACCCAAACACGGAAGTTCTAAAAAAATAAAAAAATAAAAGCTTTTTCTGTTATTAGGTCCAGAACAAAGTGCCGAAATGTCCCTGGCAGATTAGTTGAAAATTGTTTTTTCCCATTTATTCAAATTCTTTTCCGCATATAAAAAAAACTGTATTGTTTTTTTTTTATACGTGTTACTCTGTATTAGAACGAGACCTTGCGTATTTTGATAAAAAAAATACACAAGAAATTAGCCGGATGGTAGAGCGTGCGACTGTTAACCCGAAAGTCTGAAGTTCACACCATCTCTTCATACGCCGATCTAACAGAAACAAATAAACTCTACTTCATCTGCCGTAAAGTTCCAAAGGGTAAATTACTTAATAACTTGTGCAGGAGAATTGCTAATGAAGCCGAGTGTAAAATGACCCCCCCTCCTCTTCCACACACAAATGTACCCTGAAATTACCCCCCCCCTTCTTTCACACACAAATATACCATGAAATGACCCCCCTTTCCACACACAAATGTACCCTGAAATGACCCCCCCCCTTCTTTCACACACAAATATACCATGAAATGACCCCCCTTTCCACACACAAATGTACCCTGAAATGACCCATCCCCTCCCCCTCTTTCACACACAAATGTCCCATGAAATGCCCCCAACCCTCCTTTCCAACACAAAAATGTTCCCTAAAATGACCCCCCCCCCGCTTACACACACAAATGTACCCTGAAATGACCCCCCCCCCCCCACAATTTTCTTCCAAACACAACTAAAGCGCCGTCGGCGACTACTCACACCACTTCATACACTATCGTACTCACCGTTTGCACACGTTTTCCCTGAATTGCAGTACGTCTCCTCCAGTTCCTCATCCCCACCTAGACAAGGGTAACCGTCGTTCTTGGGGGCGGGGCTGTTACACAACCTCCTGACGATCAAGTCGTTATGATATGAATACATTAGTCACCGTCAACGGCATAGGCAGTGAGGGGTGGGGTAAACTGTTTGAGGTTATTAATCTTTCCGTTTGGGCATTATTCAAAATGTTTACTTTTCTACATCTAATATTACTTTCATATAGTAATTTCGGAATATATATATATATATATATATATATATATATATATATATATATATATATATATATATATATATATATATATATATATATATATATATATATAAAGAGAGAGAGAAAGAGAGAGAGAGAGAGAGAGAGAGAGAGAGAGAGATGGTTCAACGACAAATGCCCACATGACACTTGTAGAAATGCCAGAATAGGGCAAATGTCCGAATTGACGTAAAAAGGAATGGGACAAATACTCGATTGGCCTTTCTCCGAAAATTCCAAAAGAGGCCAGAATGTACCTTATTCTTTTTGAGCGTTGATTAATGCCAAAATGTCCGTAGAGAATTTAAATACGCCAAAACAACACGCAAATGAGTTTTTTTTTGTATTGAAGACAATTTTTAGCAAAGGCACGTCCATTCAACTTTCCATATAGAACTCACCAACTGTCTATATATTATATATAGCTCATCAACTTTCTCTATAGAGATTATCAACTTTCTATATATAGCTCATCAACTTTCTCTATAGAGATTATCAACTTTCTATATATAGCTCATCAACATTCTATATTGAGATCTTCATCATTCTATATAGTCCTCATCAACTTTATATAAAGAACTCATCAACTTTATATATATAGCTCATAAATTATATATACAGCTCATCATGTTTCTATGTAGAGCTCATCAACACAGTGGCGTAGCAAGGTCGGGTATCACATGGTGCGGCACTTAATGGTGTCACCACACAGAGGCGTAGCGACCCTTCCCGGGGACGAAATTTCAATTTTCGATTTGCACCCCGCTCCTTAAACTTTCTATTCGCACCACCTCAATTTTTTCTGTATATGTTTTGCTATTTTTTGCCTTGGTGTCACCCCCCCCCCTAAATGTTGTCACCCGGTGCGGTCCGTAACCCCTCGCCCCCCCCCCCGCTACGCCTCTGCATCAACATACTATAAAGAGCTCACGAGAGGCCGAAACACAATACAAGAACAATAAATTAATTAACTAATTAAAACGTCATCTAATGCGACCTGATGCTGACCTCCTGACGGTGTACTGGGACACCCCACACTCAGCCAGACACGTCCATTTGCTCCAGCCGCTCCAACCCCCAGCAACTGTGGGAGAATAAAGGTGTGTGTGTGGGGGGGGAGGTCAGTTCAGTGATGAGTTAGTGTGGTAAATACATTTTTAAAAAGTGAACGGTGTAAAGCAGGGGTCTCCAAACTACGGCCCGCGGGCTGGATGTGGCCCGCAAAGTCCTTTCATCGGCCCGCGGAGATCTTTTTGTCCAAGGAAAAATCGTTTGTTGGTGATGGCTGAGAAAAATCAAAGACATGCCTGGAAGAAACTGGCCCCCGAACTGAAATTTGATAGTTAATGCGGCCCTCGAACTGAAAAGTTTGGAGACCCTTGGTGTAAAGGAACGCCGTCTGTTTTAAAGCATTGCTGTAATGTTCAAAGTAATGTAATAATAATAATAACTAATAAGTAATTATTTTTACGTTTTTTTTTTTTGGAGGGGGGGGGGGGGGGGAGAGCGGTTAAGGTCGAGATGCTCCGGGGAGAGTAAGGGGGGGTGGTGAAGCTGTGCATCGAAACAATGCTTGAAAGAAACTCTACTTCTGTTTTTTCTACTTATTTATATATTAATGGAGAGTATTCCCTCCAACACAATTGGGCATTACAGATCAACCAGTTATACGCCGTGTGCCTGTTGAATCTGCTTCAGCCTGTTTTCTTCCTGCATTACGTCAGATCTAATAGTATAAACAGAAAACTGCGCGAAAAAAAAGTGCATAAAAGATTTTTTTAAATCGATAATTTAAAGACGCTAGCAAAGAAATAACTAGATGCACACTGCAGTTTAATAAAACCATTTATTTCCCACGAAATTCTGACCAAATGAAAGTGTGATTTGTTTGTGTTAGCACATTTTTCTGTTTCCTCAGTTTTGGTTTGCGCATTTTTCGCTGCGCATTTTTCAGGGACCTCTCTATTATCACGAGTAACCTGTCAGACCTCAACAGGCCGAAGAATCAAATTTTTCTAGAACCCATATTTTATGTTAGCCGCTAGACTACTTTTGTTTTCTACTATTAGTGCGTGCTACTTCCTTCCATGTTGTATAGAAAAAAGGAGAATGATGAAGGGACAGTTCCGTAGGGGTTAAACCCTATGAGCCAAAACTCCTTTTTTAGCAAGCGCTTGATCTAACCCTAAACCACATTTACCCCCCCCCCCCCCCACAGGAATTCTAAACCTTAAAAACATAAACCTTACCTGGGGCTGGACGGGCCAAATCTTCATCGCTCTTACCATCAAAATCGTCATCAAACTTTACTCCGTTTTCTAAATGATAAAAAAATGATAAAAAGTTGAAAACAGAACAAATACTGAGAAATTCGAATCTTTTAAAAACCCGAGTAGCGACCACTCTTGTCACTAAATAAAAATTAAATTCTTCTCTCAACCACACTCGACCTGTACTTGTCATTGATAATAATGTTAGTAAAAATTATTTGTGTTAAAATGTTCACAAAATTAATAAGACACATACCGGATCGTGTCAGCGAAAAATGGTATAGAATTAAAAGCGACAAAATGTTGCAAAATTCGAACAATACTTAAGATCCCGAGGGAATAACATTGTACACCTTAGTGTGTTACATTGTGTGGATAAAATACAAGTTGATTTATACATGTAAAAAGAAAGATAATTAAGAACACACCTTTCGCATAACTCACTACCTCCACAGACATCAGACATCAAGTTTTAGCACAAACCCTACTCCCTTACTTCCCCACACTTCGCACACCCAAATCCCCCATGTCTTTACCACTACACCCAGCAAATTTATACTTCCTCACAATCCGCTCAACACAAAACACCAACACACCCCCACACTCCAATCACCCCCACACTCCAATCACGCCCCCACTCCAAGTATCCACACACTTTAATCACCGACACACTCCAATCACCCACACACTCCAATCATCCAACCATCCCAATCAACCACACATCCCAATCCAACACACTACCCAATCCCTCACACACCGCATCCCATATAAACTCAAATCCCACATATTCCAAACCACCCTCACACCCCTATCCGTCACATAACCCTACATCTCAATTCCCCACACTCTGCACACCCTTCTCCCCCCCCCCTATACACACTTCAACCCCCCCATACACCCCCTCAACACAAACCCCTACACACCCCAACCCCCACTTCACCCCCGCCCCCCCCCCCCCACAAACCCCACGCCTTACTGCATGTGTCCGCTGAAGCGTCTAGATAAAAACAACTCGACGCTGCTGACTCCTCGTCTATCGCCCCGTCACAGTCGTTGTCCTTCATATCTCCGGGTGTAGGGGTCGTTACAGTACAAGATTCCTGGGGGTGGGGACAAGGGGTCAAAGGTGGGCAGTACCGTTTATTGCGGTAATTTAATAAAACAGTAAATATTAAAACTAATTTAGACGGGCAAACTATTTTATTATTAATATTATTATCTCATTGAACGTTTTATAAAAGATTATTTAGTTATTTTAATAGGATGGTTGAAACTTGTGCAATAAAGGTTACTTACTGTCACAAATTACAAGACTGACTTCACCAATTATATAACTGGTGTAATCAATAAACGTTTTCACTTCAAACTGAACATATTTTTGATTAAAATGATATTTTACTGTTACCTAACAACCTAATGTATGCTAAAGTCAGTTTGTGATGTAAAAAAAAATCTTACAAATCTATGTATTCTTCAAGTTGTTTTTAATATTTTCTTACGCGTCTTCATCTATCTCACAAATGTCATTATTTACTTAACTTATTTAACCAATTCGCATAATAATGTTGCCACATAGACCTACCATATTGATGTCACCACTGACCACACTGATGTCACCATTCATCTTAACCACATAACAGATCACCACTAACTCACTTACCATACCCATATCACCACTCACCTTATTAATATCACCACTCACCTTATTAATATCACCACTCACCTTATTAATGCCACCACTCACCTTATTAATATCACCACTCACCTAATTAATATCACCACTCACCTTATTAATGTCACCATTAATGTCACCACTCACCTTATGAATGTCACCATTAATGTCACCACTCACCTTATTAATGCCACCACTCACCTTATTAATGTCACCACTCACCTTATTAATGTCACCACTCACCTTATTAATGTCACCACTCATCTTATTAATGTCACCACTCACCTTATTAATGTCACCACTCACCTAATTAATGTCACCACTCACCTTATTAATGTCACCATTAATGTCACCACTCACCTTATGAATGTCACCATTAATGTCACCACTCACCTTATTAATGTCACCATTAATGTCACCACTCACCTTATGAATGTCACCATTAATGTCACCACTCACCTTATTAATGTCATCACTCACCTTATTAATATCACCACTCACCTTATTAATATCACCACTCACCTAATTAATATCACCACTCACCTTATTAATGTCATCACTCACCTTATTAATATCACCACTCACCTTATTAATATCACCACTCACCTTATTAATATCACCACTCACCTAATTAATATCACCACTCACCTTATTAATATCACCACTCACCTTATTAATATCACCACTCACCTTATTAATGTCACCACTCACCTTATTAATGTCACCACTCACCTTATTAATATCACCACTCACCTTATTAATGTCAGAACTCACCTTATTACTGTCACCACTCACCTTAATAATATCACCCCTCACCTTTTTAATGTCACCACTCACCTAATTAATGTCACCACTTTCCTTATTAATATCACCACTCACCTTATTAATATCACCACTCACCTAATTAATATCACCACTCACCTTATTAATGTCACCACTCACCTTATTAATATCACCACTCACCTTATTAATATCACCACTCACCTAATTAATATCACCACTCACCTAATTAATGTCACCACTCACCTAATTATGTCACCCCTCACCTTTTTCATGTCACCACTCACCTAATTATGTCACCACTCACCTTCTGAATGTCACCACTCACCTTATTAATATCACCACTCACCTTATTAATATCACCACTCACCTTATTAAAATCACCACTCACCTTATTAATATCACCACTCACCTAATTAATATCACCACTCACCTTATTAATGTCACCACTCGCCTCATTAATGTCACCACTCACCTAATTATGTCACCACTCACCTTATTAATATCACCACTCACCTAATTAATATCACCACTCACCTTATTAATGTCACCACTCGCCTCATTAATGTCACCACTCACCTAATTATGTCACCACTCACCTTCTGAATGTCACCACTCACCTTATGAATGTCACCACTCACCTTATTAATATCACCACTCACCTTATTAATGTCACCACTCACCTAATTATGTCACCCCTCACCTTTTTCATGTCACCACTCACCTAATTATGTCACCACTCACCTTCTGAATGTCACCACTCACCTTATTAATATCACCACTCACCTTATTAATATCACCACTCACCTTATTAATATCACCACTCACCTTATTAATATCACCACTCACCTAATTAATATCACCACTCACCTTATTAATGTCACCACTCGCCTCATTAATGTCACCACTCACCTAATTATGTCACCACTCACCTTATTAATATCACCACTCACCTAATTAATATCACCACTCACCTTATTAATGTCACCACTCGCCTCATTAATGTCACCACTCACCTAATTATGTCACCACTCACCTTCTGAATGTCACCACTCACCTTCTGAATGTCACCACTCACCTTATTAATATCACCACTCACCTTATTAATGTCACCACTCACCTTCTGAATGTCACCACTCACCTTATTAATATCACCACTCACCTTATTAATATCACCACTCACCTTATTAATATCACCACTCACCTTATTAATATCACCACTCACCTAATTAATATCACCACTCACCTTATTAATGTCACCACTCGCCTCATTAATGTCAACACTCACCTAATTATGTCACCACTCACCTTATTAATATCACCACTCACCTAATTAATATCACCACTCACCTTATTAATGTCACCACTCGCCTCATTAATGTCACCACTCACCTAATTATGTCACCACTCACCTTCTGAATGTCACCACTCACCTTCTGAATGTCACCACTCACCTTATTAATATCACCCCTCACCTTATTAATGTCACCACTCACCTAATTATGTCACCCCTCACCTTTTTCATGTCACCACTCACCTAATCATGTCACCACTCACCTTCTGAATGTCACCACTCACCTTCTGAATGTCACCACTCACCTTATTAATATCACCACTCACCTTATTAATATCACCACTCACCTTATTAATATCACCACTCACCTTATTAATATCACCACTCACCTTATTAATATCACCACTCACCTAATTAATATCACCACTCACCTTATTAATGTCACCACTCGCCTCATTAATGTCACCACTCACCTAATTATGTCACCACTCACCTTATTAATATCACCACTCACCTAATTAATATCACCACTCACCTTATTAATGTCACCACTCGCCTCATTAATGTCACCACTCACCTAATTATGTCACCACTCACCTTCTGAATGTCACCACTCACCTTCTGAATGTCACCACTCACCTTATTAATATCACCACTCACCTTATTAATGTCACCACTCACCTAATTATGTCACCCCTCACCTTTTTCATGTCACCACTCACCTTCTGAATGTCACCACTCACCTTCTGAATGTCACCACTCACCTTCTGAATGTCACCACTCACCTTATTAATATCACCACTCACCTTATTAATATCACCACTCACCTTATTAATATCACCACTCACCTTATTAATATCACCACTCACCTAATTAATATCACCACTCACCTTATTAATGTCACCACTCGCCTCATTAATGTCACCATTCACCTAATTATGTCACCACTCACCTTATTAATATCACCACTCACCTAATTAATATCACCACTCACCTTATTAATGTCACCACTCGCCTCATTAATGTCACCACTCACCTAATTAATGTCACCACTTTCCTTATTAATATCACCACTCACCTTATTAATGTCACCACTCGGCTCATTAATGTCACCACTCACCTAATTATGTCACCACTCACCTTCTGAATGTCACCACTCACCTTCTGAATGTCACCACTCACCTTATTAATATCACCACTCACCTTATTAATATCACCACTCACCTTATTAATATCACCACTCACCTTATTAATATCACCACTCACCTTATTAATATCACCACTCACCTTATTAATATCACCACTCACCTTATTAATATCACCACTCACCTTATTAATATCACCACTCACCTTATTAATATCACCACTCACCTAATTATGTCACCACTCACCTAATTATGTCACCACTCACCTTATTAATGTCACCACTCACCTTATTAATGTCACCACTCACCTTATTAATGTCACCACTCACCTTATTAATGTCAGAACTCACCTTATTACTGTCACCACTCACCTTAATAATATCACCCCTCACCTTTTTAATGTCACCACTCACCTAATTAATGTCACCACTTTCCTTATTAATATCACCACTCACCTTATTAATATCACCACTCACCTTATTAATATCACCACTCACCTTATGATTGCCACCACTCACCTTATTCATGTCACCACTCATCTAATTAATGCCACCACTCACCTTATTAATGTCAGAACTCACCTTATTACTGTCACCACTCACCTTAATAATATCACCCCTCACCTTTTTAATGTCACCACTCACCTAATTAATGTCACCACTTTCCTTATTAATATCACCACTCACCTTATTAATATCACCACTCACCTTATTAATATCACCACTCACCTTATTAATGTCACCACTCACCTTATTAATGTTACCACTCACCTTATTAATGTCACCCCTCACCTTATTAATATCACCACTCACCTTATTAATATCATCACTCACCTAATTAATATCACCACTCACCTTATTAATATCATCACTCACCGTATTAATGTCACCACTCACCTAATTAATGTCACCACTCACCGTATTAATGTCACCACTCACCTAATTAATGTCACCACTCACCTAATTAATGTCACCACTTACCTCACCGATATCACCACTCACCTTATTAATGTCACCACTCACCTTATTATATTACAACTCACCTTATTCATGTCACCTAATTATGTCACCACTCACCTTATTAATGTCACCATTAATATCACCACTCACCTTATTAATGTCACCACTCACCTAATTAATGTCACCACTCACCTAATTATGTCACCACTCACCTTATGAATGTCACCAACGTTGGAGCTAACGGCAAACAGACCCGCCCCGACGTTCGTGTGGTAGTAAAAATAGCAGCCAAAGGGCGTGCCGTTCTCCGTGTATACCACGTGATACCCGGGCATGGAGTCCAGTTCGTACATCTGCCAGTCGTTGTGCTCCACCCACTCTTTACTGACATCAAATAGAAGCAAAAAAAATTCACTTCTCAATGTGATACTGCATAATTTTTCTGTGTACATACACAAACACACAGAGAAACTCACACACATGTTTACTTAGTTGTATAATGGTGGGAATGCTACAACATGTAACGACAAGTGACAAACTCGCACACATGTCGACTTTGTTGTACAATGGTGGGAATACCACGCCATATAACGACACATGACAAACTCACACACATGTCGACTCAGTTGTAAAATGGTGTGAATACTACGCCATATAACGACACATGACAAACTCACACACATTTCGACTCAGTTGTAAAATGGTGTGAATACTACGCCATATAACGACACATGACAAACTCACACATTTCGACTCAGTTGTACAATGGTGGGAATATTACGCCATATAACGACACATGACAAACTCACACACATTTCGACTCAGTTGTACAATGGTGGGAATACCACGCCGTATAACGACACATGACAAACTCACACACATGTCGACTTAGTTTACAATTGTGGGAATACCACGCCATATAACGACATATGAGAAACTCACACACGTGTCGACTTAGTTTACAATGGTGGGAATACCACGCCATATAACGACATATGAGAAACTCACACACGTGTCGACTTAGTTGTACAATTGTGGGAATAGCACGCCATTTAACGAGACATGAAAAACTCACACAAATTTCGACTCAGTTGTACAATGGTGTTAACGCTACGCCGTATAACGACACATGACAAACTCACAAGATTTCTTCCTGGTCCTGCCATATCCCGTCTATGAGCAGCCAGCGGTACTGGAACCGTCGCAGTACCAGACACATTTTGTAGACGTGGAGTATGGTATCTTTCTTGTTATGGGGCATGCTGGTTACAGATGTAAAAAAATGATGCAGTTGATTAGCAAAATGACGATGTATTGCCTGGACTAAAGACAGCATGCGTAATAGAAATGTGAATAGAGCGTAGTAAAAATTTTGACGAGTCGATGACCACTCATTTAATGTGGAATGGCATAATTAGGCGAAGTTCAGTGGGCAATATATGGCATAGTATGACGACACTAGTACAATGCTATGCAGTTTATTAGCAAAATGATGATTGATTGCCTATATTAAAATCAGCATGCATAATAGAAATGTAAATAAAGAGCAGTATAATTTTGACAAGTCGATTACCACTCATTTAGTCAGATCACTAGACCTAGATCAGTTGACCTTTTAGAACTAGTATAACTTTGATACAACATCGTGGCGTCACTTGTTCATTACTACGGTGAAATACCAGGTGTATGACGTCATACTATACACGGTAAGAACACCACAATACCATGACTTTTTTTAGTGCTGTCTGACGTCATACGGTGCAACGGTACAACGCTATAACACTACTGCACCATGACGTCAGTAAAAACGCAAGTAAAAATTAAGCCTTTATGAAAAATAATAGTATTTACAAGAAAATATACGTTATACTTTTTGAGCCTTCACTGCTAAATATTTTCGCTTATAATGTTTATTTTCCCCCAAAACATACAATAATTTAAGTGCATTTTAATTTATACAAAAGAAAAAAAAAATAATACTTCCAAAGATAATAGTTGTATTGAAACTATTGAAATTAACTGCTACTTAAATTACACAAAAAGAAATAAAATCATTTCCAAAAATAGTAGTTGTATTTAAACTATTAAAATTGACTGCTATTTAAATTAGACAAAATTAACTAAAATTGCTTCAAAAAATAGTAGTTGTATTGAAACTATTAAAATTAACTGCTATTTAAATAAGATAAAAAGAAATAAAATTACTTCGAAAATTGGAAATTGTTTTGAAACAATTGAAATTAAATGCTATTTAATTTATACAAAAGAAAAATTACTTCCAAAGATAGTAGTTACATTGAAACTATTTAAATTAATCGTTATTTAAATTAGACAACAAAATAAAATTACTTCCAAAAATAGTAGTTGTAGTAGAGTTCGGTGGGTATGAGCTGGGTGTAGACGGGGTTGACGTCGCACTTGATGTCGGAGAGGTAGAGGAACACCGCCACGGGCAAGTTGGACGTGACTACAGCAACCGTTTTGCCGTCCTTGGGGTTAGTTGACTAGAAGAGACAGGATGAGTTACGTAGGTGGTTTTTGTGTGGTTCATTAACATTGAGGAAATGTGGTGAATTCAATAGTTCATTTATATTGAGGGAAAAGGATGAGTTCAATAGGTAGCATTTGTGTGATTCATTAACATTTAGGTAATAGGAAGGCTCAATAGGTGGTATTGTGTAGTTAGTTACATATATTTTCAACTCTTGCATTATTCTAAACTCTTACATGTATTCCCAACCCTTACATCTATTCTAAACTCTGATGGGTACCTAACTCACGTTAGGGAAAGTAAAGGCGGCTGGACATAGGGCTGACCACACTATCTATTCATATGCCGAGGTCACAGAAACAAGTGAACTTTATTTCAATTGCCCCATAGACCGTCAGGTTTGAAAGGGAAACTTTACTTTTTACATGTATTCTCAACCCTTACATGTATTCTGAACACTTACATGTATTTTCAACTCTTACATGTATTCTAAACACTTACATGTATTCTCAACTCTTACATGTATTCCAAACTCTTACATGTATTCCCAACCCTTACATGTATTCTCAACTTTTACATTATTTTCAACCCTTACATGTAATGTCAACTCTTACACGTACACTTACCTCATATACACTACCAGCAGAGACCAACCACACCCTCTCTGGGATATTGTTTCGATGGAAATTCACCGACAGACTTGTGCGAGCTACCGAAGCAATCACTCGCAATAGCGTGTTGTATTCACCACTCACTTTTAAGATGATGTATTTCTTGCCCAACGAGTTGCTGGGAAGCGGCATGTCTATGTATAGAACATTGGGAATAAAAGTAGGGTTAGAGAAGTTTATTTGTTTGGACGTGTTGCTTGTAGATTGTTTATAAAAAAATATGAGTCTGGAAGTTCATTTAAAAGATGGTATGTGTGTAGTTCATTTTTTAAGGTACGATGTATGCTGTTCATTTGTAAAAGACAAAATGTTGGAAGTATATTTATAAAGACGTAGTTTCTTATTAAGTTCAATTAAATAATATATAGCCTTGCTCGCATATACTTACTTTCTCATAACTAACACTTATCCTTGCTTACCTATACTTTCTCATAACTAATACATAGACTAACTTACCTATACTTACTTTCTCATAACTAATACATAGACAAACTTACCTATACTTACCTTCTCATAACTACTACTAAGTTTTACTCACCTATACTTACTTTCTCATTATTAATACATTGACTTGCTTACCTACATGTAGGCTATCACATATTACCTATAAACATGTTCTCTTATACTTGGCCTATCATAGAATTTATATAAACATCCTTACCTGCACTTAGCTTTTGAAAGCTTGAATACAAGCATTCAACGTCATTCAAATCTACAGTTCCACAATAGGCGATCATAAGCCCAAATGGCTTGTTACCAGCCATGGTGACGCCTAGAATGAGTATATATATATATATATATATATATATATATATATATATATATATATATATATATATATATATATATATATATATATATATGTGTGTGTGTATATATATATATATATATATATATATATATATATATATATATATATATATATATATATATATATATATATATATATGTGTGTGTATATATATATATATATATTATATATATATATGTATTGGTATATATATATATATATATATATATATATATATATATATATATATATATATATATATATATATATATATATATATATATATATATATATATATATGTATTGGTATATATATATATATATATATATATATATATATATATATATATATATATATATATATATATATATATATATATATACAAGTGTGTATGTGTAAAAATAAGTAATCTTTGAAGACTGGTAGCAAACGTGAAACACTCAAATATCGGCTAATGACTGATGTCTGTAAGTCTAGGTGTAAGTGTTTTCTTCTAAACGCTTGCGTCATGTAACCTAAAGTTTACCTTACAGCAAGCCCCCAGTCAGATCGATGTACTCACCATATTTGACGTGAGGCCCCATATACCCTGGAAGGTAATTACACACAATGTCTAGGAACAGGTAGGCCCGTCCAGCCCTGGGGAAATGCAACTAGTTAAGAGCTGTTGTTTATACTCGAATGCAAATCTTTACATGTATACAGGTTAAAAGACGTTTTGTTTTAATAACGTACACGCTGTAAATCAATCAAAGCCTCTATGGTCAAAGTCCCTATGATCAAAGCCCCTATATTCAAAGTTACTATGGTCAAAGCCACTATGTTCAAAACCCCTACAGTCAAAGCCCCTATAGTCAAAGCCCCTATAGTCAAAGCCCTTTGGTCAAAACACCTATGGTCAAAATCCTTATAGTCAAATCTACTATGGTCAAAGCTACTATGTCAAAGCTACTATGGTCAAAGCCCCTATGGTCAAAACCCCTATGGTCAAAACCCCTATGGTCAAAACCCCTATAGTCAAAGCCCCTATGGTCAAAGCCCAGCCCTGGTCATCCACCTATGGTGAAAGAACTCCCATAAAACCCCTACAACATTAAAAAAAAAACTGCTAATCGCCTACGGAAGATTTGTTTTAAAAAAAGAAATTCCTTGCGTAAATTGAATGTCAATAAAAAAAAACTATGTAGGTAAATTGAAGATTAGATTTTGAAATGTCACAAGGGTAAATTGAGAGCCAAAAATTTACATGGGTAACACGCATTTTAATAATTAAAAACAATTACATTGGTAATGTTAAATTTAAATTGTAAAATATTACAATGGTAAACTGAAGATTAAGTTTTAAAATAATATATTGGTAAACAGAGGATTTAATTTTAAAACATTACATGGATAAACTGAAGATTAATTTTTGTTTAAAATTACAAGGGTAAAATGAAGATTACATTTAAAAAATAATTATAATGGTAAACTGAAGATTAAATTAAAAAAATAATTACAAGGGTAAATTGAGCGTCCTCTCGACCTCGTAGAAAAGTTCGTCAATCTGCTGTCGGTCAGACTCGACCATTCTAACAGTCGTATCGTCGTCGCGACTAAACACGACGATACTCGTGGACTTCCTGTAGCCATAGACCAAGTTAAAACATCAGAATACACGTTTTTTTAAAAATATTATTATTTATCACTATTATTCATCACTATCATTATCATTTTTTATCAAACAACACGGGTTTAAATCATTACTTATTTTATGTTTCAGCATCGTTGTTAAAAAAAAAAACGAAAATAAATCGAACAAAAAATAATGGGTCATCTAAAATAACGTAACACTTTTTTGGACGATCTCTTCCCTCCCTCCGTCACTCATCGTCACAATAGGCCAGACCCCTCATTAAATGACGTCACACCTCAGCCTACACCCCCCCTCCTGAAAATTGCAGTTGATTTTTCTTAAAACAGCGATATTTTTTCCAAAATCTTGTCTGAACTCTATAAACAGAGTATTTTATGTTCATCAATTTCTATTATAATTTATTAAAACTGTTTTCTAAAACGCGAAATAACGGCTAAAATACGTTTTCCAACATTGTCTTTTTTATATTGCAAAAGTGTGACGTCACACCATCTGAACCCCCCCCCCCCCCCCTCCCCCTCGTCACACACCGACACAAAATTACGGACCCCCCCCCCCCTTTGATTGTGACGTCATTTATGGACAACCCCTAAATAAACAAAAAAACAACAATACATTAGACAAGACTTCATTTTAAGCACAATAAATTGACCTACAATTTGTAGTAGAACCTGTATTCGGTGCCATAGGCGGCCACGGGGAGGACGTGGTAGGCATCTGATTTCATTACGTCAGAGTGGAACACGGCAACGTTGAACACATAATCCGCCCTCAGCTCAAACGTTGGGATTAAACTGTCAGGTTAGGATTTACAAAACACTAAAACACTATTAGGGGCTTTTTTTGTCTCGTAAAAGAATGTTGACACCAATGCCACCGTGATAAATGTATTACATACAAATACCAGGGTTTCTTTCAGAGCTTTTTCTCCTGCGGGGGGGGGGGGGGGGTGGGGGCACTTGATATTTGTTCTATATAAAGTACATTTCGTTCAAGGGGTTGTAGAGATGCGGAAAATTTTCTTCGGGAAGGGGGTGGGGCGAAAAGATGCCTGACTAGATAAAATTGTGTTTTTTTGTAAAGATTTAAATCAGCTAGAAATGGTTGGAAGTTTTTTTTTTTAATTTGCATACTCCTTAACTTTGTGTAACTGTACACGCCGTGTTGAGTTCTGCAATGTGTCAATTTGTATTGTATACATAAGGGAATTAATTCATCACCATTTCCTCCACCTCCAACCTTTATTGTCAATTAACAAAGGAAATATCCCCCTCCACCCGCCGCCACCCATTTCATTCATGATATCAGTAAAGTGAAAAACATTTCATTTTATATATTGCCTGTGATAGGCAGACATGGTATAAATAAGCAAAGGCACTTTTTTCATTCAGGAACATTTACTTACAAATCTTGCCCTAAATACTTATCTATTTTCCTATAACTAACCACAACCCTAACTTAAGTCAGATACCAATTATGGCTGGGTGGACTCAATGTCTCTCACTCTAGCTCCGGGCTAAACCGTCCCATAACCCTAACCCATTCACTATCCACATCACTATATATATATATAAATATATATATACATATACATATACATATATATATATATATATATATATATATATATATATATATATATATATATGTGTGTAAATATTAATATATATACATATATATATATATATATATATATATATATATATATATATATATATATATATATATATATATACATGTAGTGGATATGCATGTATGTAGGCCTAACGATAATTATACTAATTATACTAACGGATGCTGTTACTAACTGGGACTTGTGATACGAGTCGACCTCAATCTCCTCGTATATTCCTCTAGTAAGGTGAAGTGTGGCGTTGATAACCTCATCGGAATTCAGGTACAACTTTCTGAACACCACGTCGAAGGGGTTGGGGGACATGGTGGTCAGGATCACGAGGCTGGGGCCTTGGTAGATGAAGGGAACTGTGAACAGGTAGTGTTTCCCTGTCGGTGTGTTCACCGCTGGAAGAAAAGCAAGAGATCTTTAATTAATTAACTAATTAATTAATGAAAATTGGTTTTCTTTTTTTCTGAAGAAGTATTCAATGTTTCTTCCAGACTTTTTTCTCCGGGGGGGGGGGGGCACTTGAAATTTTCGGGGGGGGGGGGGCGGTAGACTTTCTTCGGGGGGGGGGGCGGACACTGTTAAAAGTATATATTTTCTATATAAATTATATAAATTTCATTTCGTTCGGGGGGGGGGGGAGGGGGGCGGTAAAAAATTTTCGGGGGGGGGGGGGGGGGGGGGGGCGAAACTCTGGAAGTATTGCATGTTGGTCTTGACGTAACAAGAATCGAAAAATTGTGATGTTATTGTAATTACTTTTAATGTTTTTGTTTTCTTTTCGAATTAAAAAAATGTAATGAACATGACGATTGTATGTGTAAGCAATGGTTTCCTTCATTTTTTCTTTGGTGCGGGTTGGGTCAGGCTGGGGCAGATTTAGGGGTGTGGATTATGTAAGCGTATGAAAAAAAAACAACTGATAACGATTTAATAATTAAGAAATTATAAATTAGAACGACATCGTTGTGAGATGTTGGAGTTTAAGTCATTTTATGTCCTTCTGATGTCTACAGGACATGTTAGAAAAACTAAGGCGGGAATAGTGCTGATCTTATTATTTCCTTTTATCTAAAGTCATTGAAAAGGTTAAACTATTTTTGGTTATTAATTATTATCTTATCCCGATCGTGCCTAAGACACATGGGACAGATGAAGTAGAGTACACCTGCTTCAGATATATGACATATAAAGGGATAGTGTGTTCAGCACTATGCCCAGTCTCCTTTTTTTCCCAACTTGAGCTAGGTACCCTTCATAGCTGGGTGGACTCAGGGACGTTCTAATGACTTATACCCGGATTTGAATTTTTAACTATTTTATCTGCCCTATTTTTCTTAGCCACAAACCGAGTAAGATACTGCCGATAACAATACATCACAACAAAGTTAGGTTTATATTCATCTCGCAAGATTAGTCTACAAGTGGGTATCACGATATTAATCCCGCAAGATTACTGTACACGTGGGTATGACGATGATTTATAGCTGACTCGCCAATTGCTATTTATATGGGAAGGCCTGGCCGGCAGATAGAGCCTCTGCAGCTAATTTATGAGTCGCGAGTTCGGATCCTGGACCCGAACTCAGACGTCCATGAGTCCAACTGTCTCTGACCTACCTGAATAAAAATAAGTCAGATTTGTCTATTGTATCGACATACATCTTTATTTACTCTTTTAGCCGTATTTTTTAACGTAGAGGAAGATGTTGAAATGGTATTACCTCCAGTTTCAGCACGTAGTAAACACAACATAAAGCCAACTACCCACACTCGCACATGTTTTGATTTTGAAATCAACATCAGCTGAAAGAGAAATAGCAATCCAGAATACTGAGCCATTCTCAGGTTAAAAGTCAGTAAAATGGATGAGTTGTTGTTCTCTTTGGGGTGGGTTATGGTTTGATTTAGTGTTATAGTAATTGTTATTTTACCGTTTTTCCGTGAGACGTGAATCGCTTTTGCCCTTAAGTTGTCATAATTTGTTTATTTTAGAATCTTGCCACAGCAATACTTAGCCAAAATTTTGATCATAAGTATAACTAAAGTATCATAACTATAACTAAATATAAATATAACTCTAGCTGTCTAGCAGTAACATAGATCTAGAGTCTATATTATACATTTAGATATAGAATCTAGATTACAATTACTGCACATAAACATTTGTGACTAAAATATTATAATTAGATTATATATATATATATATATATATATATTATAATTAGAATGTAAATACCATGTCAAATTAAAATTTCAAAAAGTTAGGAATGTAATAATATCTAGATCTAGATCTATCTCTATATATCCAGTGAAAATCGAAAGTATTGAAATCTTTGCCGGCGTTCAAACATATTCTTATTTCATGCTAATGCTTGGATATTCCCTTAAAAAGTGCGCAAAGGGTGAAAATGATTAATAAAGTGTTTTTGTCCTACATTAAAATAATATCCTACACAAGACCTCTGTTGATACGTAATGACAACTGATACTAAAGAAATTCGAAATATTGTTGTATGATGTTTAATATTATTTATTTAAAAAAAAGATTTCAATACAAATATATTGTCTTTTACCAATGCGCTTTATTCACACGAATAAAATTTAATTAGCGTACAATTTAAAATGTTTTTTTTTAAATTTTTTTTTCACTCTTTACCCTTTCGATATTTTCTGCTTTATATTTGTCATACTTTACTAATGAGCTTTACAAATTTCCTACATCTTAAATTATTGATTTTAAAACTCTGATTTATTTTAAACTTGGTTTAACCATTTTCGTTATCATTCTCACAAGAAAAAGAATAAGCAAACTGTACCATTGTAAGACTTTATTTTCATATCATAATAGGTTTACAAGTACAAAAAAAAATTTCATTTTTTAATTTATATTTCTTTTTCAAATTATTTTACATGTATTTTCACACTTAATATGATCTAAATATGATCTAATAAAATTTAAAAATAGTTTTTACATATTTTCAATTTAACATTTGCTAAAGTGATAAAAAGAAAAATGATAGTATATCTAAACTAGATTTTACATTAAATATTGTTGCAGTAATTATGCATAAAGTTAGTATAGATTCAATGGCATTTTAATAAAGCTTAAAATATAATGTAACAAAAATAGTTAAGATCCATTTCAAACCACACTTGGACGTAGGGAGGTTCTTCTGACCTGAACCCGGATTCGAACTCGAGACTTTCGGGTTAGCTCTATTGCTAGGCCACCCTTTCCCCACATTAACTACAAACGGTTAAACAAAAACTGTGGGAACATGCAAGTAAAACTAAGATGACAGAAATGTAATTCACAATGTACAAAAGAATAAAAATCAATAGATCTCATTCATGCTCAGTTTTTTGTCTTGTAACAAGAAACACATCATAGGTGTAGACACCACAGTTTTATAACCCACATAGATGTCGTGTTTGTCATTCGTTGAGCTCCCTATCTTGGCATCTGGAGTTTTATAATCCCATAGAAGATTGTTGTGTTAAATCTTGTAACAAGTCATTCAGTTAGTGCCCTATCTTGGTGCCCAGAGCTTTATATCCCATACAGGTCTTTGGTGTTTTGTCGTGTAGCAAGAAACAAGTCATCCGTTGAATAGCCTTTCTCTACAGCAATGGCCTTGGCAGTAAACAAAGCAAAGCCGTGGTGGGAAACTGAGATGTGTGGCTGAAAAATAGAGGGAGATAATCACTTTTTTTTAAATTTATATAACAATCCTTAAAATAATAAATAAAAAATAAACTTCTATATATTAAATACTGCATTGTGAGTTTAAATTAAATTTATTACTACCTTATTTTTTAATACTCAAGCTCCATTTAAGATTTTATATATATATATATATATATATATATATATATATATATATATATATATATATATATATATATATATATATATATATATATATATATATATATATATATTGTGAAACTAAATACATTTTAGAATTATTTTGATTTAAATTTTAAAAAAATAATATATATAAAAATAGAAAAAAAATACTTAAACACGCCATTTAAAACGACTATTCCTTATTTAAAATGACGGTTTCTTATTTAAAATGACTGTTCCTTATTTAAAATGACGGTTTCTTATTTAAAAAGACTGTTCCTTACCTTGTGACTGTCTGGTATAATGTTGGGTGCCCCAGCCTCCAAGATCATCCTTCTCGTGGGAAGAGACTTCACCATGTCTCTGATAGACTGTGGCATGGACTTGATGGCAATGACTGGTGTTATCCCAAAGTACATGTTGGAGAAATACTCCATCCACTGTTTGGCTATTTCCTTGCTTCCAATGAAACCTTGAACGTGGATACGGTGGTCTCTGGGTACAAACTGTTGATTTAAAGAAGGAAAATTTAATTTACAAAAAATGAAAATAATTACAAATATGAACTCTAACTTAACTGGTTATATTTAAAAACAAAAACTAAACTATACTTTGACAGTTTTAATCACAAAATATATATATTTTTTATTTGACTTGGTTACATTAAAAAATATAGGCTATATATACTTTGATGCAAAAGTTATAATCACGAAATAAAAACAATATTTAACTTAACTGGTTAAATAAAAAAACAACTATATTTTGACATTTTTAAACACAAAATATAATTTTTATTTAACTTAACTGGTTACATTAAAAATATATATTTTGATGCTACGGTTGAAATCACAAAATAAAAACTCATTTAACTTAACTGTTTACTAAAAAGCTATATTTGACAGTTTTAATCACAAAATATAATATTTATTTAACTTAACTGGATACATTAAAAAAAATTTAACTTGCGAAATTTTAAGAAAACGTACCTTTCTCATCATAAGAAAGCAATCATCCTCTGCATGTTTGCAATGAATTACAATAGGAAGGTTGAGCTCTACAGCCAGCTGTAACTGGGATTTGAACACAAACTTCTGCTGGTCAATGCTGGGTTTTAGAGTGTAGTTAAGACCACAAGGCCCCACCCCAACACATCTGTCTATGGACAAAGCCATCTTCAGGGTTGTGATGTGTGTTGCTGTGAAGGAGCCTGCGTGTCTAGGGTGACATCCAAATGTCATCCATATTTCATCTGTTTGTAGTGTAAGCTTCACAAATCCATCCAAACCATCTGATTAAAAAAATAACATTAAGTTACTATGAAACTCAATCTTTTACTTTAAGTATTATTTTAGTGAATCTAAGTTGTTTTTTTTTTAAAAAAAAACCCACAAAAACCAAAACTCAAATAGTTAATAAACGTAATATTTTAGTTAATCTAAACCCTCTGATAAAAAAAAAATTACATTAAATTACTATATAAAACAAAACTCAAATAATTAATAAAAGTTTTTTTTTATCAAATCTAAAACTACATTAAACTTCTATGTTAAAAAAATCGCAAATAATAAAACTATTATTTTACGATATTTCAATAAATCAATAAAGAATGATAACAAAATTACTTACCTGTTTTTGAAAACATTGCCGGGTTAGAAATAGCTGCAACCACCCCAGCAAAGTTGAAAGGCACCGTTTCTTTCATCAGACAAAACGTTGGATGTTTCCTTATTGCCTCCACCATCATCTCGACATCGCAGTGTGTGTCAATGAACCCACTTTTGTACTGCATGCTTCTTATCATGTAGTCTTTAGCCCAGGTTGGGGTTCTGTTGGGGTCGTAGACTGGTCCAGGTTTTACATCTTCAGGTTTTACAATCCCCAGCACTAGTCTCTTTGGATCAGAGTTTTCATTAACTGGAGAGGGCAGTTTTCTTTTTCTAGGTCCAGCATGAGATGGTCCACTTAGATCTAACCTGGACGTTGGCTCCTGACTGAAAATGCTGAGACTCTTCTGGCTGCAAGATGTGGATGTGGATGAGTCAGAACTAGAAGTTGATTCGAGGCTGTGTCTTGAGTTAGTTGAGCTAAAAACGTGTCTGGACTTGGAATCAAAGATGGTCTGTAAAGGTTTCGGAGTACTGTTTGTGTTCATGTCTGTGGTTTTGGTTTTTGTATCAGAGATGTGGGTTCCATTCTCAGTCATGGTTGTTGGCAGCAATGGGGTGCTTGGTTGATGACCTGAAGTACTAGCCTTGGGAGCTGGGGTGCTTGGTTTGGGAGCAGGGGTGCTTGGTTTGGGAGCAGGGGTGCTTGGTTTGGGAATTGGGGTGCTTGGTTTAGGAGCTGAGGTGCTTGGTTTAGGAGCTAAGGTGCTTGGTTTAGGAGCTGGGGTGCTAGCCTTGGAAACAGAGGTGCTTGGTTGAGAAGCTGGGGTGCTTGGTTGAGAAGCTGGGGTGCTTAGTTTAGAAGCTGGGGTGCAAGCCTTGGAAACAGAGGTGCTTGGTTGAGAAGCTGGGGTGCTTGGTTGAGAAGCTGGGTTGCTTGGTTTAGGGGCTGGGGTGCTTGGATTTGGGGCTGGTGTGCTTGGTTTAGGGGCTGGGGTGCTAGGTTTAGGAGCTGGGGTGTTAGGTTTAGGAGCTGGGGTGCTTGAATTAGAAGCTGAAGTGCTAGGTCTGGGAGCTGAAGTGCTAGGTCTGGGAGCTGAAGTGCTTGGTTGAGGAGATGGGGTGCTTGGTTGAGAAGCTGGGGTGCTTAGTTTAGAAGCTGTGGTGCAAGCCTTGGAAACAGAGGTGCTTGGTTGAGAAGCTGGGGTGCTTGGTTGAGAAGCTGGGGTGCTTAGTTTAGAAGCTGTGGTGCAAGCCTTGGAAACAGAGGTGCTTGGTTGAGAAGCTGGGGTGCTTGGTTGAGAAGCTGGGTTGCTTGGTTTAGGGGCTGGGGTACTTGGATTTGGGGCTGGTGTGCTTGGTTTAGGGGCTGGGGTGCTAGGTTTAGGAGCTGGGGTGTTAGGTTTAGGAGCTGGGGTGCTTGAATTAGAAGCTGAAGTGCTAGGTCTGGGAGCTGAAGTGCTAGGTCTGGGAGCTGAAGTGCTTGGTTGAGGAGATGGGGTGCTTGGATTAGAAGCTAAAGTGCTTGGTTGAGGAGCTGAAGTGCTTGGTTGAGGAGCTGGGGTGCTTGTTTTAGGAGCTGTGGTGCTAACTTTAGGAGCTGAAGTGCTTGGCTTAGGAGCTGAAGTGCTTGGATTAGAAGCTGAAGTGCTAGGTCTGGGAGCTGAAGTGCTAGGTCTGGGAGCTGAAGTGCTAGGTCTGGGAGCTGAAGTGCTAGGTCTGGGAGCTGAAGTGCTAGTACTGGGAGCTGAAGTGCTTGGTTGAGGGGCTGAGGAGCTTGCTTGAAGACTTGAGCTTCTCACTGTCCCTGTGTTGCTATTATTTCCAAGCTCTGCCCCAGCAGCATGATGATTGTCTAGCCGTCTCCTGCCTTCAGCGTTTGATGCTTCATCCAACACTAACCGAGGCAACAGGTTCAGGGGAGCCCGGCTAGGGGCCATGACGTGAGGGCGCCGTGCACGTCTGGCCTGCAGGACCGTGAGCAGTACGGGAGGCCATGGCATGCATCTAGTGCACGGCACGTTGTTGTCGTCCAGGTCCACGCTGTACTTTTTAGGCGAGTAGGGTTTGGCATGGGGGTAAGCCATTGTTACCTGGTTATAAATATTTGAAATGTTTACCCAAAAAAAAACTTTTTAACATAACTTAAAATCTATGACAAATACATAATTATCAGTTTAAAAAAATATAGCGCTGTGTTATAGTTTCAGTTGCATTGATATCTAAAAGATAAATCTAACTGCATGCTTCAATTTAACAATGAGTAGGCGAGTAGGGTCAGCATGGGGATATGCCATAATTACCTTGTTATAATTAGAAAATATTTGAACTGTTTACCCTAAAAAAAACTTTTTTAACTATAAACTTAATCTATAAAATCCATAATTATCAGGTTTCAAAAATATATCGCTGTGTTATAGTTTCAGTTGCGTTTAATTCTAAAAGATAAATCTAAGCTGGCTGCATGCATTAATTAAACAATGAACTTATTGCCTAGTCCAGACGTTAACATTGTTATTGGTTACCAACTTTCATGAAGCATGACTTGCTTTAAGAATTTAAGATTTGTGGTTGCGTAGGTAACTAAATAGTATGGGAATAGCTTGAGAAATATCAGCTTTATAACATTTATTTTAAATGAAAATTTAGTGTATATAAACAAATCAAACAAAGTTTAGAGTAAGGTAGATCTTAAAAGCTAAAATAGAGTCCTGATAGGACACGCATTATGTCTTGAGATTATTGTATTTTAACTGTCGCCAATAGTAATACAAAAGCAATTTTTTTTTAAATTTTGGTCGTTTCACTTAAATTAAATTTTAAAAGGAACACATAAGAATGTTTATACATGTGAAATTATATTGTAAGTAGTTTAATCCCTTCCCGTTTTTAGTTTATGTTGAAATGTATAGTAATATTTGCTTAACCATAGTAAAAGTTACAGTGCAATATATTAGGCTAGCTACAAAATGGTAAAATGTTTAAATGTGTGAAATGTAAAAATTATAAACTGCAGTATAGTTTAGGAAATGAACGGACAGGGTAGTGATATGATTGGAGCTAAACAACGATTCTCTTATCGATTAGAAATGAAAACTTAAGTTTAGAACTACATCGTGTAAAGTAATTATATTACAAATTAGCTTGTAGTAGCGTAGGCCTACATCGTGATAAATACTTTTTTTGAGTTTGAACATTTAGGTTACATTTTAAACGTTAGTTTTTTTTTCTTTTTAACAAAAAAAATATATTTTTGGTTAAAAAAATTAACTAACCTTTTAAAGAGGCTGTAACTTGACTGGGAGTTTTAGGACTAGAGATAAAAAAATGAAACCAACAATCTCGGAAGAAAGTCAAATTCAAATGAACGAGTCATGGATTCTGTAGTTTACTTTATAGGAGGAGAAATATGGTAAGTTCAATCACCCGTGATGGTCAACCACGTGATGGCTGTGGGCCAGTCAGGCGGAACGCGTTGTTTATTTGATGCTGACTATTCCACGCTGGCTGGAACCGTACGCCGTGTGTGACGTCACGCGTCACTGTCTATTTGACGTCACGACCAGGTGTTACTAACTTGGTTCTGTTCAATGACCATCTTGATTGACCGAGTGATCGGCACCGCTTTGTTGTTTTATTGTGGTCACTGTGACAAAACATGTTATGGCACCACCCCCCTTTCCTAGGGGTGAGGGGGGCATGAGGGCGGCTAAGTCAATATTGTGTTAAAAAGTAATCACTGTGCAATTGCTATGACTTGCCGGTTTTTTAAACATCAGTTTATTTGATACATAAAAAGTAAACTGTTTTTTTTTAAAATCAATCTATTTACATTAAACTTCATCGATAGTATTGACCCTACTATAAATATATTTAATATTAATATCAACGATTATGTTTTTTTAACAAATTAAACCAGTCAATCTTATACAGATTATATCATTATAATTGTTCCTTACCCTTTAAGAAGGGGGTGGTCGTTGAACACCACAGTAGATTTAATAATTCTCCGCCATCCACCCCTGTTCTCTGCCACTTTGATTAGATCGGATACTGGAAGACCGATCTAATCCCTGATGTCATCCATCCAGTGACGTCTTTGCCTTCCTTTCTTCTCCCTCCTGGCTCAGTGCCTAGCAAATAACGTTTAAGACACTCGTAGGCTGTTTGATCTACTGACATACCATACCCACTCAATTTTCTAGTATATGTTATGCTCAGTAGGCTTACAAAGGGACCAGTCGAAATTGCGATCCTTACTGGTTATACAACACATGTTAACTATTCCTATGGTAAAAAAATACGTAACGTGACATCTTTGTCTCACGTTCGTATTGTATTACAGAGGGCAATAATTAATCAATTTGTACATTATGTTATGATCTGCCATTCAGTTAAAATTAGTTTATCCATCAAAATAAATATTTTCTCTTTCAAAACGATATTTTTACAACACACACACACACACACACACACACACACACATACATATATATATATATATATATATATATATATATATATATATATATATATATATATATATATATATATATATATATATATATCAGTTATATATTATTTACTGGGGGTTACTTTTTGCGGTGAAATTGGTCAATAGTATTACTGGTTATGTCAAAGATGTTATATGTTAAAATGTGCATTTGTAAAAATTGAAGGACTAGAAGCAGATGTTAAAGTGCTCGTCCCTTCATCTGCCCTAAAAATTGGCACTCACTTTGATTGTGTTATCTATTGGAAGCTAACTCGCACATGTGTCATAGTCTTTTTTACGGATGGTTAGTTCCGCGCGCGGTGTTTGACGTCACGCATCCAACACCGCCAATTTGACGTTATGGTAGGTTGCTACCAAGGTGTACAGGTCAATGGTCACATCGCTTGACCACCTGAGCGGTACCGCTTTGTTGTATTTTTGGCGTTTAATTTGACACGACAAGATATGGCGTTACCCCTGGGGCTCGGTCATTATTGTGTCGTAGTGGACTATTATAAGAAACCACGGAAAGCATTTTGTTAAAATCTTCCTTGTTCTTTGAAATCAAAACAAACAAAAGGAATTTTCAACGAAATCTGTGAACAATAATTATCTGTAATACAAATATCTTCATACAAATAATTAATCTACCACAATTGGTGATTTTTTTAAATTTTTTTTTTGAATTGCTCAATAGCTATTGAGCTATTGGTGATATAAATAAAATAAAATTTTAAAATGGAAATTTTCACATAAAAATAAAGACTAAATTTAAAAGCAATAATCTATCTGGCTTTGGCGGTGATCAGTGGGGCAGAACGTATAACCCGAGCCTTCGTTTTTTTCACAGCTGATCTGTTCCGCGCCGTGTGTATGACGTCACTACAAGGTGCTACAAATGGAGTCTATTCACTGGTCGCCTTCTTTGATCACGTGACAGGAACAGATTTGTTGTTTTATAGTGGTCAATATGACAAGATAAGGTAGGATGACACACCGGGGCTAGGTCGATATTGTGTCAAATAAGACAACTTTAACAATTTCTTTTTGTAAATGCTACGCCCTGACATTTAATTAAGTTCAGTTTATTAGTTAAACTAAAAATTAAGTAACTTAATTTTCACAGTAATCTCTAATATAAAAAAAATAATCCTTGATAATTTTAACTATAACTTCTAACACTAATAATCACTAATGTTGTATTTTCTTATTGATTTGATTAAAAGTAAAGTTTCCCTTTCAAACCTTACGGTCTATGGGGCAAGTGAAGTAGAGTTCACTTGTTTCTGTGACCTCGGCATATGAAGAGATAGTGTGGTCAGCACTATGCCCAGCCGCCTTTACTTTCCCTAACGAGAGTTAGGTACCCATCAGAGTTGGGTGGACTCAGGGACGTTCTACTGACTTGAACCCGGATTCGAACTCGAGACTTTCGGGTTAGCAGTCCAGCTCTCTACCGCTAGACCACTCCGTCCCACATTGATTTGATTATAATAGTCGATATTTATTAAAATGTACACTTAGGAAATTGAAAAAAAACTAGGAGCAGTCGGGAGACGTTGTGGTCTAGCGGTAGAGCTACAGGTCTAAATTGCTAACTCGAGAGTGTCGAGTTCGAATCCGGGCTCAAGCCAGTATAACGTACGTGAGTACCTAACTGACGTTAGGCGGCTGGGCATAGTGCTGACCACGTTATCATATACCGAGGTCATTAAAACACGAACTCATGGTTGCAACTTATCTACGAGAGATAACTCCAAAATTAAACAGGCATTCAACTTTTTACAAAGGCAATATCTGGCTCTTCTCAACTTTTTGACAAAGCTGCAATTTATAATCGTTTTTCAAACTAAATATTCATTCTTTTACTTAAAATTCAGTTTTAAATTATACAGCGGAGTGATGATCCACTTACCAAAGGATCCCTCCAACATTACGTCACACATACTAAGAAAAGTGCGATCCTTCTCCTCTAAGAAAATTAATGTAACATTGTTTTTTAACATCTGACAAGAAATTTTAAGAGCTAAACATTTAAAACAGAAAATAACAGGATAACGACGTCATACATGGGTTAGACATCATGCGGTGTAGTCTAGACAGTAGGATCAGTAGCGTCGCTAGGTCGGGTGTCACCCTTTGCGGTCCACAACCCCCTCCACCCCGCCTTGCGACGCCTCTGAGTATGATATCTCGTTGCATGATCTATTCTCTGGCTCACACTAGCCTAATGGATCATCATTTGTTGGTCACAAATTTAGAATAGTCTCAGCATTTTAAAGTGTTATTTTATTTTTTGCTTCTACCATCCTACAGGCAGTCGGTTTCTCATATTTGTTCTTCTCTTTTATAGGCATTTTAAAGTTTCGAGAGCGGGAGAGGGGGCACGGGTAAAAGTATGTATTTTCTATACAAATATTCAAATTATGTTTCGTTCGGAGAGGGGAGGGGAAATAGAGCTTAGGACCCCCCCCCCCCCCCAAAAAAAAAAAGATGCATGAAACAAACAATGTGTGAAGGTTATAAAATATATATCAAGTTCACTAAGGTTAAAGACTCCAAGCTTTAAACGGGGCCATGTATTGTTAGTATAGTTTGTCTGAAGGGGGGAGGGGGCCGAAAAGTCGTGTTTTGCTGACGCTTGTGGGGGTGTTTTGGTCTTTGTGAGTGTCCGCATGTTGGATTTAACATCGAAGTACTAACATTTTAAAACACTTATGCAAACACGTATCCGGTATGTAAAGAAAATTAATATGTCTGAGCACGTTTTTTTAAAAAAAAC